CGAAAAACCTTTCAACTTTTAAAACGGCTACGGTTCTTAACTACAGAGAATATTCTATATGGCAACCATCTATTTGTTATCTGATTTCTAAAAACTCAATGTTATAGCCTTATTTTTATTGTAGATCAGTATATTATTGAAAAAATCTCTCAAAATATAAACAAAAAAAGGATAAAAAATATCTTAGCGTACTAAAACTTTGTTTCCAATTAACAACTTTTAAGTGTAACTCATAGATTTGTTTATTTATTTGAAATCAATTTTCTTAAAATCTGACTGTAATATTTCAATAATTTTTTTTTAAACTTTAGATAAATATATTCTTTATTTATGATATTTTTCTGGTCATTGCTTCAACTTTTTTTCAATATAAAAATTAGTTTTTACTATTATAACTATATATATATATATATATATATATATATATATATATATATATATATATATATATATATATATATATATATATATATATATATATATATATATGTATATATATATATATATATATATATATATATATATATATATATATATATATATATATATATATATATATATATATATATATCAGGGCTGTGGAGACGGAGTCAGAATTGCGGAGTTTCAACATTTTTAGCAGAGTTGGAGTTGTTAAACAAAATCTCTAATAGTAAAAGACACATGTATAAGTATTTGTGTGTATTATTGTGTTATTAATGTATATGTATTTGTGTATATTATTGTATGCACACATTTATATATATTATATATATATATTATATTATATATATATATATATATATATATATATATATATATATATATATATATATATATATATATATATATATATATATATATATATATATATATATATATATATATATATATATATATGCAGGCCCGCCCAGAGCTTTTGTGATGCCCGGGTCCAAAAGTTTAATGGATGCCCTATCATACTTCTGGTCTTAAAATAGCAAAAAAATTAATATAGTTTACTTTCATAAAAAACCTAAAATCACATTTAATTTTGGTTTGTAAGAACAAACTATGATAAAATCAATTCTTAATTGACAAACACATCTTCCGGGCCTTCTTAGCAGCAAAATTTGAAATAACTTCTTCATAATTAACGTTAATGGCTAAATCTGATTCGATTGAAAGGATCATCAAGTAGCACAATCGCTCCTGGCCCATTGTGGAACGAAGATAATCTTTGATGATAGCTAACTTGCTGAAAGATCTTTCTCCTTCAGATGTTGAAACGGGCAATGTTAGAAAGATTCTAAGAGAAACACACACTTGCGGAAATATTGAATGCAGCCCCTTTACATAAACTTCATTTAGAAGTTCGACAGGCTTTTCGCTGGCTAGAATATTTCTTCTTACTGAAAAAAAATGCCGAACTTTATCAGAAAATTCGTTTTTACATAAGTCTTCTGGGTAAAGTTTAGCCAGATTCTCAGCTTTTAAACCTAGTTCTTGGTCTGCTTGAGATTTCTGTAAAGACCAAAGGAAGGAAAACTTGCTACATTCCTCTTCTATTGCTTTAAATCTTGATCTCATTTGACTAGTCAGATTGTCGAGTGCAACATTGAAGACATTACACTCAAAGTTTTTTGATGCTTCCTTGCGATTGTAACCAGCAGTTTCATCTGAGACGATCTTTTTTCGCGTTCTCTTCACAGTAAACATTATTTTATCAAATTTCAAGTTCTTTGCAACTTCTGTTGCCTCTATCAAAATCAGGTCCCAAGACAGACGGATTCAATCCAGATCCATCAAAAGGCCATTTAGAATCTTTACTTCGTCATCGAGAGTGAGTTGAGTGAATTGAAGCAGAAGACTCACGTTATTAACTGCCATCAAACATTTAAACCAAAAAGTAGTGAAAACAACAAATTCAAAAGAATTCATCCATTTAATGAGATAATGCACTTCATTACTACTTTCGCCTGGAAGATCTAACTCTTTTAGACGATGTAATGATTTCAAGATCTCTCTTGGCTTTTTTGCTAGTGGCTTAACTGATTCAATCCTTGAACTCCATCGTGTAACAGAAAGTTTATGTAATGATTGGCCTGTCTCCTCCTGAAGAATTTTCCAACGAACTGGGCTGCTGCTGAACAGATTGTATAGCTTTTGAATATTTCCAAAATAGGATTTTGCAGGAGCCGATGATTCAATAGCGTGTACTGCACATAAGTTCAAACTGTGAGCAGAGCAAGGAATGAACATTGCTTGTGGATTATTCTGTCTTATCAAAGCTTGAACTCCATTGTAATTACCTGCCATATTAGCGCCGTTGTCGTAGCCTTGACCACGACAATTTTTTATGTCGAGCTCATTCTCTTCCAACACATTCAATATCAACTTTGTTATATCAGATCTCTTCTTCTTTTCAAGTTCTTCTAGCTTAAGGAATCTTTCTTTGACCTCCCACAGCTGATTAACATTGAAATGCTAAAAACGAAAAACAAAAGTTATTTGCTCGCTGTGGGACTAATCTGGAGTGCTGTCCGTAATGATGGTGAAATATATTGATTTTTTGATTTCTCGAATAACTTCTCGAACCACTAATTTGCCGCATTCCTTGATAAATTCATTTTGTGATTTCCAAGATAAATAATGAGCTTGCACGTTTTTCTTCTTCTTGGTGCTTAGCAACAAGATGCATATGATCTTGTAATGTTTTGTTGTGGCGAGCAATTAATTAGAGCGCTCCAAGGAAGTTTCCATTCCCATTTTTGAACAACTTTTGATTGGATCCTAATTACAAACAAAAAATAATCAAAATAGTAATCCATATTTATATCAAATTAAAATTTGTAATTTTGATTTTTAAATTACAAATAGAATAATGCAAAATATAATTTAAAATTTAAAAACAATATTCTTACCCTAAAAGCTAAGTTTCTTGAAGCTAGAAAAATTGTGACGTCAAGAATGCATTGTAAAATTACTTTCCATCGCTTAGTTTCATCTCCAATTTGTTTTTCTAACTGATGCTCAATGGACTTTTGACTTTTCAAGTGAATCGTAGCTGTTTTCCATTGGAGATAACAGTTACGATGAAAATCGCTTTGTTGATGACTTTTAACGCGATCTGAAAGTTTTCTCCAATTTTCATGTATACCTCCATTCCAAGACAACAAACTGGATTAAACACCGGGTCTGGTTAAGTTAGGCGATCCAAAAAGGGAGCAAGGGAAACAAAAGAGTGATGCCACAGCCTTACTCCAAACGAGCCAATCTCTTTTAACTTTTTCTCCGTTTCTTTGTTCCTCTAAAAAGATATAAGTAGGGAATTTGCGTTCTTTTTGATCTCTTGGAAAATTGCTAGGATTTGAAGAAGGTTCCATCAGAATTATATTCGTTCGATCAGTGTCTGATATTGATTTCCATAGTGCAGGATCGTTAGAGATTGGTATAGAAAGATCACTTTTATAAATTTGTTGGTCATTGTGACAATCAAGTACAAAATCCAACTGATCCTTTTTTAAATGTGATGATGTTTTTTGGGAGTCATCGATGTCATCGGCAAGAAAAGGTTTGTCGGAATTATGGTCTGGCAACTCATTAGAGTCATTGATACCGATCTCAATATCATTGAAATATAAAGACGTATTAAACAGAATTATTCTAATTATTTTTTCATGAACGTCACAAGATTAAAAAATAGTTTAACTACCTGCTTGCATTTATCTTCGATTTTTGTCCAACGAACGCAATCTAAAAGCGTTCGTTTGTTTTTGCTTTTGTTTTTTTTCCGAATCATCGCTCTTTTTCTCCCAGCAGCTCCAGACAGCTGTTTCAATCGTGGAGGTCTTTGATTATTCATGCTAAAACTTATGACGATATAAAGAATTTTAACTTTTTAAATTTTAAAAATTAAAAACTTTATAATACTTTGGTGTTATTAATTGCAGAGAAAAAGTCAGTACTTACAATTAAAATATCCACTGAAGATAAGTTTCTTGTTAAAATATAGTCGGAACAAAATGCAGGCGAGTCAAAAACATACATATGCACAAAAGTATCCACAGGGACGCAAGGTTTAAGCAAAAATAAGTTAAACTATCAGAAGTCAGGCTTTTACAAACGTTAAATAAGAAAAAAAAAATTTTAACGCTTTTTATTCTATCATGCGAACAAAAGGCCAATGAAAACGCGTGCGTTCAAATGGATAATGAAAACCTTGTAAAGTAATAATTATCCTATTTTAAATGCAAACAAAGTTTAAAAGGAGAAAGAAATTAATACAAAAAAATTGCTTAATCTTTAAATACGTTATCAGCTAAATTTTTTATCATTTCAATAATTTTTTTTTTAAGGCATGTGATGCCCCATAGACTGTGATACCCGGGGCAAACTACTTCAATTGCCCCCCCCCCTCTTTTGGCGGCCCTGTATATATGTGTGTGTGTGTATGTATACAATAATACATATATATATATATATACATATATATATATATATATATATATATATATATATATATATATATATATATATATATATATATATATATATATATATATATATATATATATATATATAATAAAAAAAAACAAATATATATAGAAAAAAAACAAATATATATAGCGGAGTTGCAACATTTTTAGCGGAGTCGGAGTTGTTAAACAAAATCTCCAATAGTAAAACCAGTGATATTTTCGTACACGAGAACGAAAACGAGAATGAAAAAAAAAGCCTTTCGTTTACGAAAACGAAAACTAAAACGAAATTTATTTTAAGAACGAGAACAGAATAAAAACGATCATTTTAAATTTTCGAACGGAATAAAAACTAAATCGAAAATTATTTTAAAACGAAATATTTTCGTTCTAGATTTGAAACGAGTTGAATTATTTGATATATATAATTATTATATTACAATACATTATAACGATATATTATTCAAACTTAATTGAATTTTATTCAATTAAGTTCGAATAAGTTTAGTTATGATATAGTTCGAATATATTTATTCGAATATATTTTTTCGAACTAAAAAAATCAAACTGTAAGACCAACACAACTACGCGATGAGTTTGAGTAAACTTTTTGCTGGTAGGAAGAGGAATAGTTCAGTATGGAAATGGTTTAAATACGATGCGTCATCCGACAAATCAGTATGTTTAGTTTTACTTGATGGTGAAAAAGTATGCAATACAAAGTTGTGTGGAAAGAACCCAACAAATCTTAAAGTTAGTTTATCTGTTAGAGAATATGTTTTCATTTTGAAACAAACGACTCATTTTTATCATTTTAGAGTAATTATTCAATAACGTATACGAACTTATTTATACATTAATTGATAAACAGATAGATAAATAAACATATAAATATACAAACAAAAAATTATATAAATATGTTTAGTTTTTTCTAGCTACATTTAGCAAGAAACCATAAGTCTGTACACGTTGAGCTGGAAGAGTCGGAATTAAAGAAATTAAGTGAAAAAAGGCAAACAGGGATAAAGAGAAAAGCAGTTGATGAAAATGGACCCACTCTTTTAGAATCGTCCTCAAATCAGAACCAGACCTTGATTCAATGCATTAATCGTAGGAATACCGCATGGCCTATTAATTCACACGAGCATAAAATTCGACTAAACTCTCTTATTTAAATGATAATTGCAACATGTAATCCAGTGACATTGGTGGATAATGCGACTTTTAGAAAGTTAGTTAATACCTTGGATTATAAATTTTCATTGCCTGCTTCTGCCAAAATTACTAGCCTACTTAATGAAGAATTTACTGTTTTAACGAGAAAACTTCGTGACTTCATATCTGAAGGCAGGCGCTTCACAATATGCCTTGATGGCTGGACTAAAAAAGGTCTTACTGCGTCCTTTTTAGGAATTTCGGTTTGTTTTTTTCACTTCAAATCCGAAAAACCAATACATGCTCTGCTTAATTTGTATCTTGTGAAACATCCACATACAGGTGAACAAATTGCTAATTGTTTTGAAAAATGCCTAAAATATTGGAATATTTCCAGAGAAAAAATATTGCTTGTTATTTCGGACAATGGAGCAAACATGGTCAAAGGCATAAAGTTGTCGAGAATGAAAGCTCAAGCTGAACGTGATATACTTATTGAATTAGAAAGTGAGGTTAATGAAGAGCAGATAACAGATCTGGAAGACGATGAGAATATGACAAATAGTGAAGAGTGGGAACATGTTGACTTGATAGTTGATGTAATAGAAAACGTAGCATTTAGAAGATTGGGATGCATTGCACATGTTATACAGCTAGTTGTAAAACTTGCATATGATGGTAAATATCATGGCTTACTTTTGAAGGTACGTGGATTAGTGGGAAAAGTTCGCAAATCTTCTGTTGCATTGGAAAAAATTATCAACAAATGTGGTAAGACTGTGATCAGCGACTGTTCTACAAGATGGAACAGCACTTACTTTATGGTTCGGAGATTTCTGGAAATAAAGACATCTATCAACGAAGTGCTTGGAGACCTTAACATTGATTCACTTGCCAATAGCGAATGGATAATGCTTCAGGATTTTGTCAATCTTTTAGAACCTTTTGCCAATGAAACTGATATTCTTCAAACTATCCAGTGTTATACCTTCAATACTTAATTTAGAATGTCACCTTGAGCAATTTGGAGATGCCAAAGATGTAGCAGTTAAAATGCTTGAAGATCTACGCCGTCGTTCTGCCGTTCTTTTGCAGCCAAACGATCCTAATTTTAATCCACTGCCATGTGCCGCATGTCTACTTGACCCCACATGTGCAATAGCTCTTTTAGGTAATGAGCATACACAAATCAGAGAGTGTGCAAAGAAATACATTTTGTCAGAGGCTAAAAAATCGGTGCAACATGATTTACCTTTAGCAAGTGCATCTACTCTTTCTGTTGAGATTGCTCCAGAAATAAATGGTTTTCTTAAAACTAAATTCTCATCTAGTCTAGATGATAATCATATAATCACTAGGCCCTTTATTTGTAAAATCTATGAGTAATTATTAAAGTCTATACAATAACTATTCATTAGTTTTTATTGTTAACAAATTTGAGGAGTTTTTTTTATACCTTATAATTGAAATTTTTTTAAGTTTTAGAGCAATAAGGACAGGTTGTTGTTGTGTTTTTTATTAAGGGCGGTGGGCGGGGCTCTAAACTTCTAGCTATGGGACTGGGTGTATTACATTTAATTAAGTTCTCATTTTTTTGTTTGTTTATAGAACTAAGACTTACTTCTTTTAATTATATATGCCTATATTATTTATAAATTATACTAAATTATAATTAGATGAGATAAAAAATTTATACGACAAACGAAAATTGAACTAAATAAAAACTAAAACTAAAATTATTTTAAGATGAACTGAATAAAAACTAGAACTAAATTTATTTACTGAACTGAATAAGAACTAGAACTAAAAACTTTGCCTCTAAACTGAATAAAAACTAAAACTAAAATTATTTTCCGAACAAAAATATCACTGAGTAAAACTTCTCGGTATTGCAAGTGCGTGTACAAAACATTCAATTAACCTTATGTTCATACTAAACCTCAAAGAAGGTTTCATAAATTTGTCAAAAAATAAAATCATAACTTAATTAGACACTGGCAATTAGCGTATTTTTATAACTTGTCCCACAGTAGCTTATAACTTAAATTACTTAAAAATTTTTGCCGAAGCCAAAGATTCAGCAAAAAATTGACCTGGCTTCAGCCAAACCGAAGCTTCGGCTTATATATATATATATATATATATATATATATATATATATATATATATATATATATATATATATATATATATATATATATATATATATATATATATATATAAATGTGTGTGTGTATTCAATACACACACACATATATATATATATATATATATATATATATATATATATATATATATTATATATATATATAAGTGTGTGTATGTATATATATATATATATATATATATATATATATATATATATATATATATATATATATATATAAAAACCGAAGCTTTGACAAAATTGCCGAAACTTCGGTTTATATATAAACCGAAGTTTCGGCAATTTTGTCAAAGCTTCGGTTTGGCCGAAGCCAGGTCAATTTTTTGCCGAATCTTTGGCTTCAGCAAAAAATTTTAAGTAATTTAAGTTATAAGCTACTGTGGGACAAGTTATAAAAATACGCTAATTGCCAGTGTCTAATTAAGTTATAAATTTAGGACTACAGAGTTAAAGTTGGAGTCTATACCATATACTTAGTATTATTTACTCCCAAGTGTCTTGTTATGGAGGGGATAATAATAAATAAGTAAAAATATTTTGAAAAAAATAATAAAAATAGGGAAGGTCCTCATATACTTTGAAAGCTTCCAAGTGTGACTTTAGATGAACTGAATCAGCATTTCTATGCAGAATAAAAACCTTATAATTTAATACAAATTAAAAATTTTTAAAACCTTAAATTGTATTATGTAACGAATTCATATTAATTATTGTGTCGGATTACTGTAAATAGAACAAAATTTGTTTTCAACATTTGACCTATAAACCTAAGTAATCTCTCTTTAAAATAGATTAAAGATACGTTGCTACTATTTTAAATTGTGTGTATGTTTAATTTTTTAAAATTTTATTTAACCGTATTAATAAAAATTTACAAATTTTTATCGTAAATTTACAGAAATTGGTTAGGTGTCACTTATATTGATACAAAATAGTCAATGGAGTGACACATAAAAAACATAAAGTTCTCAACAACAAAAAAGGAAGAAAAGCAAATAAAATATAAATGAGGAGAATAAAACAAGAAAAAAAAAGTCAACAAAAACTAGATAAAATAAAAGAAAAAGAAAAACAATGATAATAACTATCCTTGCTCTTTTATTAACATTATGAATACTTCTAAATTGAATTTATATTTTAAACATGTAAACCTATATTCTGGTTTCTTCTTATGATATTATGAAGACTTTTAAATTTTATTGAAAATAAATTTAAGGTTGAAGCTTTGATTACTTTGAGCTCTTATATTTATCATCAAAATTTATTTAAATTAAATAAACAATTTAAATCAAATAAACATCAGCCTGCTCAGTCCCTGTTTATTTATAAATATAAAGTAAATAATAATAATAATTATAAATAAAAACCTTATAAAGTATTCTATTTATTATTTTATTTAAAGCTCCCTCTACAGATTTGTTAGATTACTTTGGAAGCTTTTATCACAGATAGTTAATATTTGATTTTAGATACTGATGCAGATTTATCCATTACAGAGACAGAAGAAGAATGAATACTAAGATTTTAAAGTGTAAAAGATTAAAAGAAGCTAAAGAAAATGTTATGTAGTGTAAAGTTAAAAATAATCAAAAAAAATAAAAACTTAAAAGTGTGTAAAAAAGAAGTTAGAGAGAAACCTATCATTTGTACTTTTTTTTAGCACAAACACAACAGTTCACAACAGTTTTAGTGGAATACAAAATGGTCTTAACTTGGGTTTTTTTTAGTTTGGAAATTGTTCGTTTAAAGAATACAGAGAAGTAAAAAAAAGATATTGAAATAAATAGCAATAAAAAGATAAAGTGTGTTTGTAAGATTTTTTTATGTTGTAGATACAACTAGATCAGCTAAGAGTGTTTATTTAAAGAAAAGTGATCAAGTGCAAAAGATAAATTTACTCTAGTAATGTTCAGAGATTTTTATCCACTTCTGTTAACAAAAGGTGCATTAAAAATAAAAATAAAATATACAGCACATGAAAAGATGCAATATAACATTAATATGGTTTACACACAGAAAAAGTAGAACTAGAAGTAGAAAAATTTAGGGAAAATGTTTCAAAAAAGCTTAAGTTTAAAAAAAAACGCTCGGTGCGGTTAAGTATCAGAAACGACATAATGAGAAACTTTTAAACAGGGACGCTGAGAGCTTTTGCCCTGCCTGGGACAGCAACCCTGACTGCGGTCCTCGTTTTTATACAATTTTTCTATATTATTAGTCAAGGACCTTAGTTTTGGTACCTTTTCTGTTTTACACCCCTGCTGATCTGAATGCTGATAAAACTTTAAGCATATATAGTGCCGAAGCTTCGGTTTCGGCACCTCTATGCAAAAATTTTTAAAAATCAAGATAAAATGTTAAAAAGCCAAGATAAAATTTTAAACCAAATAATATACAAAATAAAACAACAACAAAAACAAAACAAAAAAAAGGCAATTAAAAATAAATCAAGATATTTTCAGTTAAAAATATAATTTTTTTTAAGTTTCTGTTTGAATGAAGCAAAAGTCAGTTGGGTTGAAAAATCAAAATTTGGTAAGACTATTTTGTTCCAGAGATAAGGACCTCGGTAAGAAACAAAAAACTGATCTTTGCTTTTAAGACAAAAAGGGGCAATAAGACTGTTATTTATTCAAAAATTATATTTGTTTTTAGGTTTCATACAATAAAAATTTTGTAATACATTTGGCGACAAATTTTCTCTACATTTAAACATGAAACATAAAATATTAAAAACATTTAGTTGATATACATTTAAAATATTCATTTTTTTAAAAAGTTGTTTCGTGTAAAAATACCGATTTTTAAAATTTATTACGCGAGTTGCGTGTTTCTGATGAAGGTAAAGAGATTTTAGCTTTGTTCTGTGAGTGCTTCCCCATATAATATTCGCGTAGTTTATATGACAATGTATAAATGAATAATATAATTGTGTTAACTGGTGTTTACTTAATATATTTCTTGCTTTATAGAGAATTCCGATGCATTTAGCAATTTTATTGGAGGTATTATCAATATGATTTCTCCAAGATACGTTTTCATCAATATATACTCCAAGAAATTTAGTAACTTTTTTTTTATTATTATTATATTATCAATTAGAAGGTCTGGCATGATATGAGGCAGTTTCTGGTATTTTGAAAGTGGATGAAAAAGTGTCCATTTAGTTTTTTCTATATTTAGAGACAATCTATTTTGTTTAAACCAAACAGAAACTTTTTTTAATTCATTTATCATATTTGTAAAAAGCATATTTATATCTTTATGAGACAAAAACTAGTTTGTGTCATCTGCAAAATTGTTGTTAAATTTGATGATTTATGAAGATCATTTATGTATATTAAAAAAATAAGAGGACCAAGTATGGATCCTTGTGGAACACCACATGTTATATTCATTAATAGATGAGATATAGAATCTTTATTGAAAACAAACTGTTTACGGTTAGTAAGATAACTTTCAAACCATAATAGGGTTTTATCTTTAATATCATATGATATTAGTTTTTTTAACAGGATTTGATGATTGACGGTATCAAATGCCTTGGGCAAATCAATAAACACTCCTAGTGTACACCAAGAGTCTTTAAATGAGTTGGTTATATTGCGCGTAAGTTGAAGAATGGCATGCTCGGTTGAATTATTTTTTTTGAAACCAAATTTGTTATTGTATAGAATTTTATTTTCAACAAGATAAGAGTAGATTCGGTTGTACATTATTCTTTCTAAAAATTTTGAAAAAACTGGAAGAACTGAAATAGGGCGATAATTTGTTATATTTGTACGATCCCCTGTCTTGAAGATTGGAGTTACTTTCGCTATTTTTAGTTTATCTGGAAAAGACCCTTGTGAAATGGATGCTCTGAAGAATTTAGAAAGAATATCTTTTATAACATCGTATGAATCAATCACAATATTTGTGTTAATATCATCATACCCAGTAGCTTTATTTCGTTTTAATGACTTAAAAGCAACCTCAAATTCATTAAAAGCTAACTTAGCCAAAAGCTATACTTAAAAAAATAGGGGAAATCTTAGCATAAGAGTATTCTTTTTTTACTGCATTTTTTAATTTTTTTGTTGCAATATTCAACGAACTTAGTACAAAGTATAATAAATTATTTTCATTTAATAATAATCTCTAAGCAATTTAATTTGTAGGATTATTATTTGTAGTTATTAGTCATGTTAATATTAATTAGATTCATCTGACTTACTATTATTTTCAGTTAAACGAAACCTGCAAAGTGCAAAATATAAATAACTTTTAAAATGGACAAAGAAATGGTGTTAAGTCTGGAACATCTTCAACACAAACTAATTAAGGAAAAAGTTCCTAAAGTATTCCTATATTACATTTGCAGGTTGCTCATTATTTGCGTGATGCTTTTGCGACATAATTATTATAGATTTTTTACTTAAGTATACAGAGCAAAAGTTTTATCTGCAACCAGTCTTTGCACAACTTATGTTAAAGAATTGTGCAAATATTGTATTGAAACTATTTTGAAAAATAGCAACTCTTGTTTGTGAATGAAAATAGATGGAAACAATTATTTTTGGAGATCACTAATGCTTTAATTGCAGCATAAGCTTTAACAAAAGGATTAAAGAAATATATTTTGTTACACTGCATTATCTACTTGTTAATATAAGACTGCTTTGTAATAAAATATAATAAATTAAAATATGTTATTCATAATTCCTTTATATAGATATATATATATATATATATATATATATATATATATATATATATATATATATATATATATATATATATATATATATATATATATATAGAGAGAGAGAGAGAGAGAGAGAGAGAGAGAGAGAGAGAGTAAGTTTTGCTGTAACTGGCTAAGTTAGCCAGTGAGTATGACTTTCATGATAATGTGTTAGCCTAACATAGTATCCTTAAAGGCATGTTGTCAACTTATTTCTCATGCAGTGGCCTTGTCTGTTGAGTTTCGTTATAGAAAAGGTTGTAACCACAAAAGTAGCCTCCTCATCTGTAGTCGGTGTAGAGGTGAATAATTAAAAACATATATATTACAAACAATATTAGCAATTTAGCTGATTTCTGTTACTGCAGGTAAAAGTAACATAAAAAGGGTTTGTTATCAAAATACTTTTGTATTATAAAAAATATTTTTATGTAAAATTTTATATTATAAAAAAGTGTTTTATGTGATAAAAAAAACACTGGTTTTAAAAATTTTTTGAAGAAAAAATATTTTTGAAATTCCTCAAGACCCTTATACATATAACGAGTTCCTAATATTATCAACAAAAAAAATCTTCAAAAGTGTATCTTGACATTTGGTATCAAATTAAGCGAACTTATGAAAATTTTAAAAATGATAATTTTATTTTAAAAATTTAGTGAAAAAAAAAATATTGCCAAAAATTAATATAAATGCACATTTTTCTTTTTTAGTTAATAAACTTCATTTTTTATGGCATTAAATCTAACATTGAAATTTTCATATAATTTTGCTTCATTTGAGACCAACATGATACACTTAAATATTTTTTTTTTAAATATTAGGAACTTGTTATGTTCAAGGGTCTTGAGGGAGTCCTCAAAATATTTTTTATTCAAAAAATTTTAAAAACCAGTTTATTTTATTAAATAACACATTAGGTGGGTGGAAGCATATATTGTTCAAAAATGTTCATTTTAGGAAAACCCTATAAAATAGGTTCTATGATAAATAAGTTCTTAATTGATGATATATTGAAGTGTTTGTTACTATACGTATATATATATATATATATATATATATATATATATATATATATATATATATATATATATATATATATATATATATATATATATATATATACTATTCGCAAAAAGAGACCGGAATTATGGGCCAATAACTCTTGGATTTTGCACCACGATAATGCGCCTTCGCACACAGCACTGGTTCTTCGTGAGTTTTTGGCCAAAAACTCTACCCATGTTGCTCCACAACCACCGTATTCGCCCGACTTAGCACCGTGTGACTTCTGGCTGTTCCCAAAGCTCAAGAAACCACTCCGGGGAAATCGTTTTGAGTCCATTGAAGAGATCCAACGTGAATCGGCACGCGCATTGAAGGCTATCCCTGCCGAGGACTTTTCGGCATGCTTCGAAGACTGGAAAAAACGTTGGCAAAAGTGCATTGGGGCCGGGGGAGATTATTTTGAGGGGGACGATACAGGTTTGGAAGAAAAAATAAAGTTTTTTCATTTTATAAAAAAATTCACCTTACTTTTTGATCACAGTAGTATATATATATATATATATATATATATATATATATATATATATATATATATATATATATATATATATATATATATATATATATATATATATATATATATATATATATATATATATATATATATAGTCATAAAAGTAATAAATAAATATTTAATCAATGAAATTGCACTTTGATATATTAGGAAATAGTCATAACAGTAAAAACTAATTTTTATATGGGAAGCAATGACCAGAAAAATATCATGCATATAGAACATATTTATCTAAAGTTTAAAATGGGTAGCTATAAATTACGGGTAAAACTAGTAAAATTGATAACAAAATGGAGTGTACTTAAATAAAACAAAAAAAGTTTATTTAAATTATGTAAACGTTTTATTATCATGTTTCTTCAGGCAAGAATACTTCTAGACCTTTACTTTAGATTGCTGGAGCACTTAACTATGGTTTAGATACATAACTTTATAAACAATTTGAATTTATTTGTAATTCATTCGCTGCGTTGCAACTACTATTAAGGAATTTTAACAGTTATTTAGTGGATACGCGTGTTCTCTTGTTCCACGAAAAATTTGAACCATAAGATTTTGGGCGGAATTTCGGCAGAGTTGGCTCTTCGACCTCATGATTCCATCCTTAAAAAGAAAAGAAAAAACTATTTAGAAAAATACAATTTATAAATTTTGGAGGATCAAAGGTTTTTTGTTTTTTTTCAACATCTTGACTTCCAACAAGGCTGCAAGCAACCACTATTACAGTTAAAAGTTACTGATAGAGAAAAGAAGTTTATAGAGCAAGATAAGGATTAACAGAAAACTTAGAAGATTGCAAATTATATGAATCAGAAAAACAAGATGAAGGAAGCGAATTGTTTTCAATGCGTTTTTACACTTTGTCTAAATGAGGAAGGGCATCATTGGAAGATCCGCCTTAGATATGGCAACAGTATTCTATACACGGAAGGATTTGAGTTTTATAGAGATAAAGAATAGAATCCAGAGTAAGAAAGTGTCGTGCACGATAAATAGATGCAATTAAACCTTAGCATATGCTAGTTTTACAATGGACTTGATATATGGTTTTTAAGAAAGATCGGAAGTAAGAGTTAGTCCTAGAAAAGAAAGGGTAGATGACTCATCAAGTACATTACGGTTCATAAATATAGGAAGATCTAAATTATTGCGATAAAAATTGGGTTTTATCTGAATTTAAGTTCACCAGCCACTGTGAACCCCTGAACCCCTGTGAAAAATGCTGTAACATGAGTGAGATCTATTTCAAGCCCAGATACCCCCTCCAAGCGATCAGAGAGCGTTGGTTTCTTATCAAGATAAGAATAAACGGCAGTATTATCAGCAAACATGCCACCTTAAATATGAGAATTTCTGGGAGATCGTTAATGTTAATTAAAAAAAGTATAGGGCCAAGGATGGAGCCTTGAAGAACCCCTGAAGTTACAGGGTATGAAGTAGAGTGCTGTTCATCGAGGACAACTTTTATACTACGATTTGCAAAAAAGGATTTATTAATCTTAAAGATGTTACCTGATAAACCGTAACAAGAAAGCTTATGGAGAAGACCAGCATGCCAAACTTTATCAAACGCTTCAGAAATGTCGAGAATGATAGCCTTAGAAATAGCTTCAGAAATGAAATGATAGCCTTAGATATAGGTTCAAGTTAGTGAGCTTTAGCCTCTCCACATCTATCTAATGCACAATAAAACCTACCATTTATTACGGTTAAAAAATCAGCAGTAGAACGAGAAATTCGAAATCCATATTGATGATCAGAAATTAGGTTATTAGATTTAAGATGATAGATTATAAGCTTGTAATTAAAGACTCAAAAACCTTGCTTATGATAGTAAGAAGACTAATAGGATGGTAGTAAGATGATTCAGATCGCTCTCCAGAATTTTTGAAAATGGGGATAACAGATGCCGCTTTCCAGCAGGCTAAAAATAATAATTTACTAAGCACTTGTTGAATAGTTTTGAAAGTATAGACAACAGCTCTGGAAAACACTTCTGCAAGACTATAACAGGTATATTGTACGGACCACAAGCTGTAGATAAGTCTAAGCAGGAAATCACTTTAGATACAGAAGCTGGAGTGAAACGTGAAACAGTCAAGCAATGGATTAACTGTGAAACGGTCAAGCAATGGATTAAGCTGTTTGTCGACTATATCAGGTAGAACGCAATATTGGAGTCAAGAGATGATATTGATGAGAAGTTATTAGCAAACAATTCAGCTTTGTCTTTAGGTGAGGTAAAACCTGAACCATACAAAAGAGGTGGAATAACAGATTTGACCTTATTATAGATACTGTTAAAGATTCTCCAGAAGTCATGAGAGAACAATTTTTGAGACAAAATACGAGATTTTGTGACCTGAGAATAGCAGACTTTTGGCGTTAGACAAAACCTATTTACAACGGTTTCTAGCAATAGTGAACAGACACCTATTTTCTGAATAATTGTTGAGCAGATAGATATGATTATGATTGGAAATTGCAGCACAATGAGAGGAAAACCATGGAGAAGAGTGAGGCTTGACTTAAAATGTCGAGAGGGAATAAAAGATTCCATGCCAGCCTGTATTCAAGAAGTTACATAAGAATTTGTCATCAGGAAGACGAAAGATTTCTACCCATGGGCCATCACAAAGAAAATTACAGATAGAGTCCCAGTCAGCTTTAAGGTAGTTGAAAGAAGGTATGATGGTAGGGAGATTCTGATGATGAAGATGAATGAGGTAATAGTTTTAGAGATATCAAACTGTGATCAGAAGCACCTAAGATTTAAGAAACCAATCACTGACTAAGATTAAAATCAAGATATAAGTCGAGTAGAGAAGGTAAATAATTTGAATAGTCTGCAAAGCAAGTTGGAAAATTGATTACTTGAGTTGAGACCGAAGTTGCGGGCCTTAACGCCTGCAGAGCCACTGACACTAGAGCCAAACAATTCAGTTTGACGAGCGTTAAAGCCACCAACAACAGCAAGATTGGCTGAAGGATAAAGAGAAAGGGCTTAGTCAATTTGGTCAGAAATAACATCAAAATAAATGCAGTCTTGAGATGAAGGAGAGCAATATAGAAAAATGATATGGCAATAGAGTGGTGCTAAGCAAAAGCACATAAAAGTAAATTTAGTGGATTTAAACCTAGTTTACCAACAAATGGGTGAATGAAGATGCCCAGACCAAGCATGTGACTATTAGAGTCTTTATGAATTAAAGGAAGATAACCATTAACACTAAGATCACATTAAAGGAAGATAATCATTAACACTCAGTACATTATTTAATAATTCAGGCAGTTGTCTAATTTCTATTAACAAACCCTAAGCTGTAACAAAGGGCTCCAAATGTGACCTCAACAACTAAAAGTACGAAAGGGTTATTGACAACTCAACTTTTTTGACTAACTTTTTTTTAACTTGGTTAATAAAATCAAATGGTTTTTTAACTAATTTGGTTAATAAAATCAAATGGTTTTTTAACTAACTTGGTTAATAAAAATCAAATGGTTTTTTAACTAACTTGGTTAATAAACATCAAATGGTTTTTTAACTAACTTGGTTAATAAAGTCAAAACCTATTGTTTAGAATAATTGCATTGCTGCTGAAAACTGTCTCTATTTTCCAGCCATCCAAGTCAAGTGTGCTTTGCTTTAACAACTTGGAATGCTATTAATGCATACTATATATTTTAAAAGATTTGTTCCAACTCAATACAGGATGAGTTTGAAAAAATATATTTTTTTTTTGTGCTACATTTTCATAATAAATTTAAATATAAGGACTTGATATTTAAATATGAAATTTAAACTATTATTCATTTATTCTTAATGTCATTTTAGAAATTTTGTAGGATGAAAATCAAACTCAAACAACATTCTGCTTAAGTTAAAACAATAAGTTAAAACAATAAACTTTAGATATTTGTTGCCAAAATAAAACATTTAATTATTTTTTACTTCAAAGCAATATAAAACATGCTGGGATTAACGCTTAACAAAACGGGGTGGGGGTGGATGGGTTTTGATGTTAATATAAAATATTGATGAAAATAATTATATTTTTTTCGGTAGGTTTATCAAGATAAAAAATATTTTTTTTATAAATAATTAATTAGTAGGAATTATTTTCAAAATTGATTGTACAGTTTTTGTGCAAGAATCAAGAAAATGCCAATTGCAAGCAAGCCTTCTCAGGAAAGGCATACGGTTTTTCGTCTCGAACGTCCACGAAAACGTTTTTTAATTTAGACATCTAAATCATGACCGTTTGCGCAAGTTTTATTATATGGGTTACTGAAAAAAGTTTTAAATTTAAAAACTACATAAGAAATTTAAGTAAACTTAAATAGAAAACAATAATAATAGTTTAAATAAATTTTTTGTTTTTGAAACTTTTTCAGCATTGATTATTATAAAACTTGCAAACGGCCGTGTTCAAGTTGTCTAAAATAAAATATTCGCGTGTGGTTATACAAGACGAAAAACCATACATCTTTCCTGGGAAGGCTTGGCAAGTGTCAACTTTTAAACATTATTAATCCGTAAGTGACATGTTGGGTTGTCATTTATCAGCAAAAACATTTTTTATCTATAGTATATCAAGTTGGGTCTCAAAAAAAGCAAAATTTTATAAATTTAAATTTTTTTTTTTTTAATTAAAAAACAATTTTTTGAAATTGAAAACAAAAGCATTAAGGCATAAATATAGTAGTATAGAAGTTGTCCTCGATGGACGTCACTCTTTTTCTTATCCTGTAACTTCAGGGATTCCTCAAGCTTCTATCCTTGGCCCTATACTCTTTTTAATTTACATTAACAATCTTCCAGATATTCTCACATTTAAAGTGGCATTGTTTGCTGATGATACTACCATTTATTCTTGTCAAAAAGCCAACACTTTCTGATTGCTTGGAACGCTCTCTGATTGCTTGGAGATCTTTCTTAGAAACAATATATCAAATCTGTTGCAAAATTAGCAACTGCTAAAGTTGGGTCTCTTTATTGAGCTCAACGCTTACTCCGGATTCTATTCTTTATCTCTATAAATCTCAAATCCATCATTGTATGGAATACTGTTCCCATATCTGGGGCGGATCTTCTAATGATGCCCTTTCTTTTTTAGACAAGGTGCAAAAACGCATTGCAAACATAGTTGGACCTGCTCTTGCAGCCAACCTTCAACCATTATCACATCGTCGTAATGTCACTTCTCTTTCTCTTTACAAATACTAAAATGGGCACTGCTCTAAAGAGCTAGCGTCTCTTGTGCCATCTACTAAAATTCATTCTCGTGTCACTCGCCATTCAATTAAGTCTCATACTTTTTCTGTGACTGTTCCTAAGTGCTACCAAAACTTTTATTCCACTTGTTTTTTTCCTCGAACATCAGTTCTTTTGAATTCGCTTCCTTCGTCTTGCTTTCCTGATTCATATAAATTGCAATCTTTTAAGTTATCTGTCAATCATTATCTTGCTCTTCATCTTTTCTTTTCTAGTAACTTCCAACTCTTATTAGTGGTTGCTTGCAGCCTTGTTGGAAGCAAAGATGTTAAAAAAAAAAAAAACATCAAAAATATATATATATATATATATATATATATATATATATATATATATATATATATATATATATATATATATATACATACATATATATATATATATATATATATATATATATATATATATATATATATATATATATATATATATATATATATATATATATATATATATATATATATATATATATATATAATGGTTTTTCAAAATGGGCAAAGCTATCCAAAGGTTATCCTGGTTGATACAAACTTTATTTTCACCTTTTTTTTCAAAAATGTTAAAAACATGCAGTAAATTATGCCTTTTGTAAGTTTATTTTTACTTTTTATATTATGTTGATCCTTTATATTTCATAAAAATATTTTTAAAAATTGAGAAAAAGTCCAAAAAGCAACATAATACAAATTTAATTGATTGTTTTTAATTTTTTTTTGTTTATTTGGTTTTGATTTATTTTTATTTAAAATGCATTTTTGGTACACATATGTACCACCTTGTAATACAAATGGTACATATGTATACAAGACTATTCTGATGATTTTGGTATTTTGTATAAAAACTGTAATTATATGGCTATTATATCATATATATGATATGGTATTATATGGCTTAAAAATAATGCACGTGAATGTAAATACAAAAATATTTAAAATAAAAAAAACCTACCGTGTGACTTACAATACTGTATAGCAGCCTCTCTTGTTGAAAATTGTAACTGCGTATTTGATAACGGATCTCCACTACATTATATAAAAATTTATTTATTTGTGTTGTGTAAAAAAATAAAGTTAAAAAAAAAATGTGTTTACATAAACTGCAGAATATTATTAGTAAAACAAAAATAACTTATACCATGTAAATTACTGTCAAAAAGTTTAGTACCCTTCTGTCGAGGCCTGTATTTTTAGAACGCCTTGCATAATTGATTAGAAAAAAAAGTCACATTTAAAACGAAATGGTTAATGATAAATAAAAATTACTCCTTGAAACTCTTCATAGAAAACATCTAAACAAATCGCCCCTTACTATAAAGTAAAACTTTACTTGAACCTAAGTTGAAATAGTTGACCTTGAAATCAAAGAAAACCAAGTTTTTAACTTTTAAGGTAAAATATTTATAAAACTTACCTTGATGCCCATCCCATGAGAGGATTCTCCCAACGTTCACGAGTATCAAAGCTAACGCACCATTTCCGCATATTATGTGAACCACTTTGCATTGCATTTCGCGATGGCAAAAAAATTGTAGCCTTTCGATTCTGTGTTAAGTATAGTGGAACTCCATCTACAACAGACATCTCTTCCTAAAATGTACGAAATTTCGTTTAAAAGGTTTTCAGAATGATGCTGAAAATGCTAACTTGAAAATAAGAAAACTGTTGAATGATGAAATGATAATAATCAAAATAATAACTAAGAATGCTAATAATAACAAAATGAGAAATGTTGTTTAAAATGTTTTTCAGAAATAAAAATAACAATAAAAGACTTTGAGGGTTTTTTATATATATATTTATAATATTTGAAAATTGAATTTTCTTTAAATTCAATTTTAAAAATTTTTCTAAACTTTTTTCAAAAAAAAAAAAAAGGTTTGGAGTTTCCTAAATAAAATAATATTTATATATGTTATGTTAGTATATAGTTTAGAGTATCCTAAAAAAAATATTATTTACACATATTATGTTATTTTTGTAAGTACATTAACAAACATAAAAAATTAATTGTAACAGAACTTTCCAACTTTTATTCTTCTAAAAAAAGTTTTCAGTTCTCAGAAACAAGACTGCTTTTTTCAAGATCTTAGCAAATAAAATTTAAAAAAATATATCAAAGACAGAAAATGTTTTATTTTTTAAAAACATCAAAAATATCAAAGGGTAAATGATAAAAGTAATAACAAAAGAAAAATCTATAAGCTGATGTTTATGAACATAAAAATTTTAAACAGAAATATTAATAAGACAAAATGGGAAAAAAAATATTAAAATTTTGTAAAATGAGTTTCAAAAAGAACTTGTAAAAAACACAACTTTGCTATGAAATGACAGATAATGCTGATTAAAGAATTCTAATATACTTTACACAAATAAACAAAAAAATAATGTTGTTTATAAAAATAATTTGGCTTTACTAAAATCTATGTACCTTATATACATAATAAAAAAATCTACATGTTTAACTAACCATGTTAGTTTATTTTTGCAATTGTTTACAATCAGTTAAATAAATCTAAGACATTGGATTTTTGAATAAATATACCCAAATTTCTAAATAATCTAATACTTTACGCCTCTAGTAAATTTATTATTTTCCTGTTTGAGTGACATTGATATTTCATATGACACAACATGTAACATGTGACACAAAATTTAAATTCAGTATGGCAATTCCTTTTTTGAAATGATTACACTTTTTATAAACAACTTAGCTTAACTTTTAACATAATGATCTGCTAAATTTGCCTCTATTTATTATGCTGGTATTCTTACTCCTGATTCCAATCTCTACTTATAAATATTTAGGCTGGTTCTTTTAATGAGACCATCACTTTTTTAGACATGGTCCAAAATGCATTGTGAATGTTGTTGGACCTACTCTAGTTACTAACTTTAAATCACCAATTGTAACAAGATTGCATCTTTTAAAATTTATTGCGTAGATAACTGTAAGTTATTCATATTGTCGTTCTTTGTAGATTTTTATTATTAGAGTTTATATTCAGATTTTGATTTGTGTATTTAAAAATTATCAACACATAAATATTTAATTTGTATTTTATTATTATCTAAATTGTTTTTTTGTTAGCTCTAATTTACATATTATCTACAATCATTGAAAAATATTGTATCTTCCATATAAAAATATTTATTCCTTTTTAAAACTAAAGTAATATCTAAAGTTTTGATTCTTTAAATTTAGTTTAAATTTTATTACATAACATCGCTATATTTTATATACAGTTTTATATTACCATTTTATTTGAAACTTTATTTTATTTTTTAGACAAACAAATACGACCTTTGAATTACCATTTTATAAATTTTACTAATTTTTTAAAACTTTTAACTTTTTATTTTGATAAATTATATGCAAAGTAGAACTAGATGTTCATGATTTTACAGATTGTATTTGATACAAATTGGTGGTGTAGAAATTAAATATATTGCATGAATGTGTGCATATTGTGTAATTGATATAATTTTTTTCTAAAATACAAAACTTTGAATTTATTATTATTAAATTTCATATGCTTGTCAGTAACTGGCATATGAAACTATGTCAATGAAATGAAACAAACCTTTTGGATTTTTTAAGATTGCAGAAAAATATTGGAATATTAGAGAAATTAAGGGTCATTCCATGCCAAATGGAGCAAATTTTTATGAGGTTACTCATGGACCATCTCAGATTTTGCTGACACTTTTTGATTTTGTACATATTTAAAAAAAAAAAAGCATGTTTTGAAAATTTCAGATCAATCTTTAATATGAATCTTGCGGAAACACTATTTAAGTAGTGAGCTATTTTGCATTAAATTTCACTCTACAAACAAAAAGTTTTTTTTCATCATTTTTAACAGCTAATAACTTTTGAACAAGTTGGTTTTATACTTCAATTATTTTAAGATAGCAAGTTGCTATGGATACTTTTAAAAAAACATAATGGCAATCTCAAGTTGATATTTCTGTTATATAATTGAATTTTTTTGTGATTTTAAAGAGCTTAATCTTAAAAACTAGTTAGAAAATTAATAAAAATCCAGTTGCATGTTGATCTACATGTGTTGCATGTTGATCTACATGTGTTGCATGTTGATCTACATGTGTTGCATGTTGATCTACATGTGTTGCATGTTGATCTACATGTGTTGCATGTTGATCTACATGTGTTGCATGTTGATCTACATGTGTTGCATGTTGATCTACATGTGTTGCATGTTGATCTACATGTGTTGGATAAGTATCAAGAATAAAATCAGTTGATTAATGAGCTGCATTAAAAAGTTATAGGTTATCAAAATGACTTGGATAAAGAGTTTTTAAAAAATTATCCTTAATGCAAAGCTTTGTTTCCAAAAATGGCACTTTTTTTCATAACATTACTTATATGCATCAATCGAAGCGCCTTAATAAAAAACCAAAAAAATTAATAGGCACTCATCCTAAAAGTCTCTAAAAGTCAGGTTTTTCATAAAAACCAACTAAAATTAGTTGTCTGCTTTTTAAAACTTTTAAGTTAACAAAATAAATAATTGCATTGAATTAAATTAATGTTATTTTATTAAAAATAATAATAATAAAAATTGTTTAGAACCTTATAACTATGATAATAAAAAATGATAATAAAAAATGTTTAGAAACTTATAACTAGTGTTGTGACCAAAAATAAAAATCTTTATTAAAAAAAAATGTAACCAAAAAACTAACTTTTTAGTCAAACTAATATTAACTAATATTAACTTTTTTAATTAACTAAAATTAGTCAACTAACTTTTTAGTGTAACTAAAAATAGTCGACTAATTTTTTAGTTAACTAAAATTAGTTGACTAACTTTTTAGTGTAACTAAAATCAGCCAACTAATTTTTTAGTTAACTAAAAATACCTTAACTAAATATTTTGGTTTAATAAAAATAGTTAATTAATATTATATAGCATTATAACTAATTAAAATAATATGTAATATCTTAAGAATAAATTTAGCTTAATTTATGGTAATTTAATAGAGGTGGTTGAAACCATTTTTAAAATAAAATATCTTGAGAAATGCAATAAATAAAAAAAAGTTATTTAAGTTGGCAATAAAAATTGCCTCTACTCCATAATATTATGACTGTTAGGCAAAAATGATTTCTAAAAATAAGGTTATGCAGAAATTGTGAAATAGTCAGATCTTCAAGGATTTATACATTTGCCTTTAAAAATTGCTGGAAATTATTTACAGATAAAGGGCTATCCATTAATTAAGTCAATTTTTTGTTGATTTTTACCTCCCCCTCCCCTTGTAAACAACTTGTCAAACTTCCAGAGACCTCCCCCCTCCTTACCTTCAATAAAATTATACTATTCGATGACCCCTCCTTAACCCCCCCCCCCCTCCCCTGAACGAATCATTTTCAATGATAGTGTTAAATATTTATCATAATTTATGTACAGTGCAAAGTCACAATCCAAGAATATGCCTATCCTCCTCTCATTAACTTTAGACCTAATCAGATTTCACAGTGAAAGCCAATTATTTATAATATAGCTAGTTTAACAAAAATTTAACAAATTGCATAAATCAGGGGTTGGCAAACTTTAGAGACAGAACAGCCAAAAGTTACAATTTACAAAATAATTTCTAAAATGCTTCTGACACATTTATTTAAATATCATATTAATATTTGTGCACGAAGCTAAAGAGTCCATCTTGACATTGAAAAAAACCACATAAGGCTTGTGAGCTACAGGGTGCCGGTCCCTTGTATGAAAATTTAAATAATATAATCTAGACATTATACTTGCATAAATCTTTTTGTTTGCACAGCAGACTAAGCAACAACAACTTTGAAAAAATAATAGTATTATATGTCTTGTGTGTGCTTATTTAGTTCTATATGTGCCTGGTATTTTTAGAGCACGACACCGTAATAAAATACTGAAGGATGAGCAAGTGTGTAACACAGGACTGCAAAGGCTGACTAATTTTCCTTGATTGAAGTTTTAAAGCATCAAAGTTGACATCAACTCGTTTTAACTTCGCCATCCCCTCCCCCTCCCTTGACAACAATTTTTTTTTTCAAAAAATTTCAGACCTCCTCCCCCCATAATTAAAAAAACACCCCTAAAGAGTATCAACTTTAAGGTTTGTTTTTAATGCTTTTGGAGAAAGTATTTTCAATTCATAATTGATGAATTATATATTATAAAAAATATTTATGTGAAATCAATTTATAATAAATAGATGGTTAATAGATTTATTTTTGGATTTCCTTTATTCAACGCCTCCATTTTCTGATGTAATAATCCTCAAATAATTTAATTTTACACTCATTTAATCACAGATATTTACAGTGACGACAATTAGATTTTATAAATTAGACATTTAATGTTTTTTGTAATGTTTATATTATTTAACTAAATATATATCTTAAACTATAAAACTATTCATTTCGCTTTTCTTTCAAAAATTAAAATAATGTTAACTAATTATGTATTTGGTATAAAATATCAACTAATTTCAGCTGAGCTATTCTGCTAAAATATTTAGTTATTTAATTCATAAAAAAAAATTGGGGGAAGTACTAGGTACAAACAAAGCATTTTTATTACCTAATTGTCCCAAATTATAATTTTTTTTTTTTTTAAGAAATTTTTATGAATTTTAATGAACTTCTCTAACCGATATAATTGTCATAACTTTTACTATGTTAATTAAATTTGTCAACACAACAAATTTTATTGAATGTCTTCATTGAAACCTCTAAGTAATGGTTTCCTGCTTTTTACTAGATAAAGAGTTTTTCTAAACAATATCTATAAACTTATTAAAAGAAATTAAATGATTAAATTATGTCAAACAACAATATGTTTTCTCCTATTGAACACACCACTTAAATACACAATTTAAGTGGTTGAAGAAAGGTTGAAAAAAGAAAGACCTATAAAGAAAAAAACCTCTTGAATCAAAGTAATGGCTAAACCAGTTTAAGTTTTTCATCCAGTCAAAAAGAAATTGAAATTGATACACAGTTCATTGAAGAAACAACTAAAACTACATACAAATATTACTCAATTGAAGCAGAAACATCAAAATGGGTATGAAACAAATGTCATATAACAGATCTAAAAGGTACTCAAGTAAAACATCAAAAAGTATACTAGATTACCATCTTGAACATTATCATGAAATAACGCCAAAAAAGAAACGAAACATAAAAGGCTTGTCAAAAGAATAGAGCGATAAGATTGATAGAAATCTTTTAATATTCATTATTGCAACTGTTGTCTTCCATTTATGTTTGCAGAAAGTAATTCCTTCAAAGAGTTTGTTTTTTGTTTAAATCTAAAGTACAATGTGCCTTGCCAAAAAAAGTTAAGATCTCTTTTAACTGATTTATATTGAGAAAAAATTGAACTTTTAAAGTTGAAATTATTGTCAATTAAAGTTTTAAAAACTACTACCAATGGGTGGACATCCTGTCAAAAGTTTTATAAATTACTACTGATGGGTGGACGTCCTGTCAAAAGTTTTATAAATTACTACCGATGGGTGGACGTCCGAGTACTGATGGGTGGACGTTCAAAACTATAGTTACATACCAGCAACTGCACATTTCATTTCTGACAAAACCAATTTCATCAGCTTTTTGCTTGGGATTTGTATACCTTATGGACGCCATGATGCCAATAATTTAAAAGAAGAAAATCCTAGCAAAATTCAAAGCGGATGATTAAATAATGAGTGTAGTATCTGACAACGCCAGTAATGGCAGAAAGAATGTTTAAACTCCAATCCTACGTAAAAGATATCTTTAATTCGAAACAACAATACAAAGATATGAGAAAATATTTGCTCAATAAAGATGAAATTGTCAACTTAAAAGAAATGGTAAATGTTTTAGCAAGCTTCAATCAAGCAAGTGTTTTACGGATAATATTTATGCAACATGTTCTTTAACTATTCCAAATATAAAGGTATCTTCTGAAGCAACTAAAGAAGAAAAAACAGTGAATATTTTTTAAGCCTTCTTTAACGGTGCTATTTAAATTACATTTGTTAGAATCTTTACAAACTTACAAAGATTCGTATGAATTACAGAACAATTTTTTTTTGTTATGCGCCACAATTTTCGGATACAAATTACGAAAAAAATTCTTTAAAAAGTATAAAAAAAAAAAAAATTTTAATGCATTAAGAAATTTTGGTGTCAGTGCAAAAATTTAAAATGCAAAGTTTGTCAAACATGCATTCCAAAGCGATATATAAAAGGCACAAAGTTTTATTGCACCAAAAAGTGCAGTGACAACTTAACTCAACCTACAGGACCTCTTAAAGACTCAAAATCATTACATAAATAAAAATATTTTCTTAATTAATTAGTGCTTTTTTAACTGCTATTACTGGTTGTTTTATAATTATTATCATTCATTGTTTTCAAAAATCACTGTTGTTTGCTGCAACTTTTATTTGTTCACTACAATGTCCATGTCAAAAGATGGATAAAAATAGTCTTTTAAATTTGTCATTTCTTGTATTAACGCTTATCCGACTAAAAAAAAGGATTGTCAAAAAGAAGTTCATAAAATATGGAATAAGATCAAAAAAAAAATTTTTTATGACATACTTTTCTAGGGGTTGTATAGAAAAAATAATAAACCACTGACAATAGGAGGGGTTAGGGGAGGGGGAGGGGTAACTGCTTACTTTTAACTACTTAAAAAATGGTGGCACAATGGTAACAACAAACGGTTTTTGGGCTATCTTTCAACAGCCTTTTGTTGCTACCATTATTGCATCACAATTTTTATATACATTTTATGTACTATTGCGCAACTAATTGTATTTTTTATTATTTTGAAATAAATTATTGAATATTTCATTACAATGAAAGTATAGTCAAATTTTTGCAGTCAGTTGAACAGAGTTAAACACTATTAATTTTTTAAATTGTGTCAGCCATATATAAATCATTTTTGAATTAGTTAACAAAAAACAAGAATGTACATCAAAAAGGTGAATTACGTTTTGCATTTTTTATAAATCAAAAAAAAATTTCTGCTTCATAAAGCGATCACAGCTATTTAATAAAATGTTTTCATGATTTAGTAGATAGGTACTACTTAATATATTTCAGATTCTTAATATTATTAACATTATTAAAATATGGATATTATATTTTAAAATGCGGATATCACGCTTAGTTAGACTGAGCTTGATATCTACATTTTAAAATTGACATAAAATACTAAAAAGTTAGTCAGTTAGACTAAAAATTTATCCGGCTAATTTTAGTTAGACTAAAACTAATCTTAACTCCCACCTCTACTTATAACCCTAACTTTATAAAACAAAAATTTTAATGAAAATCCAATGTTTTGTGATTTGAAAATCAATGTGATAAAAAATTTACAAATATTTTAAATGCAAAAAATGACACTAAATATATTAAAATATTTTTTACATATAACTTGTCACAGTTTAAATTTTTTATTGGCTACTAAGACAGTAAAATATTTTAAAAAAATATTTTAAAAAAATATTCAAAGAAATTAAATTTCTCAAATAATAAACTAATCTCATTATTCATTTTTAAGTCAATATTATAAAATGTTCCTCCGCTAGACTGGACCTTAAGAACTTTGTATAAAATATGCATTAGGGGTACCCAACAGAGACCATCTCTGCATGGCCATTAGATCAATTTTTAAAAAATCTTTATTGTGCTTATTTTGATAATCTAAAACTTTTAAATGCAGTTTTTTAGTCAACTGTTTTTGTTGCTTGTTTTTTTTATAGTTATCCAGCACATGTAGATCAACAGGCTGGATTTTTATTAACTGGATTTTTATTAGTTTTTTTTGGATTTTTATTAAGTTTTCAACTAGTTTTTAAAATTTAGCTCTTTAAAATCACAAAAATTTAAATTATAAAACAAAAATACCATTTTAGCTCGCCATTATGGTAAAAAATAAGATGCCAAATTTTAATTTTTTTTTTTTTTTAAAGTACCATCATATAATTGCTATCTTAAAATAATTAAAGTATAAAACAAACTTGTTCAAAATTTATTAGCTGTTAAAAATGATGAAAAAATACTTTTTGTTTGTAGATTGAAATTTAATGCAAAATAACCCACTATTTAAATAGTGTTTTCTCAAGAATCATATTAGAGATTTATCTGAAATTTTCAAAACATTCTTTTCTTTTAAATATGTACAAAATCTGAGATTCTCCATTAGGGATCTCTACTCCACTTGGCATGAAATGACCCTTATGTAATTTAAAAACATTTTATTATACACTTGTTTTTTTAAAACAATGTGTTAAACATTTCCTCTGTGAATTTCATTATACTTGAAGCGCTAATTAATGAAAGACTCTGCAAAAAAAAAACATTTCTGCGCACGTACAAATAATAGGCATAAAGTAGAAATAATATTTGTATACAAAAAATATTTTAATATTTTAATTTTTGAATTTAGCTATATTTTGCTGTAAGGCTATACTTTATTTTGAAGCATTTTATTTTTTACAAATTTCATGAATGACCTTAAAGTTATGGAAAAAATAGAATGTTTAAAAGTGAAATCAGCTTTTAAGAAAGTTGAATACCAAAAAAAATTTTAAATATCCAAAATATTTGCACACTCTGGAGCTGCTCTAGACCTTGAGTCAAAAAAAAAGAGCTGGAGTCTGGGGCCAGAGCCAATTTTTAAACCTTGGCTCCAATGTCCTGTTGGAAATTGAGAAATCTATTTAATTTTTGCTTCAAGTCCGTTGTAAATGTTTGATATGTTGCTGGTATTTTCATATGATTGTCAATAAGAATTTTCACCTGTGGTCAGCAAAATGAATTACTCAGCAGATTGATAAATTCTTAGCATATATTATACAAAATGTAATAAGTCTTGCCTATGCCCTTGTTCCATAATTTAGCAAATGTTTAGCTAAAATATGTTTATACTACCCTATAAGCTGTAAGCTTATTGCTGGTTTCTTGAAATAAATTGATTCTCTGCCTAAACTAAAATCCTTTTTCTCTTTCAGTTAATATTTGTCATTGGATATAAATGATGTACTAAATTAATAACACAAAATTCATAATAAAAAAAAATTTAAGTTGCTTTTGTGTTTTTTTACTTTTAAGAATTTTGCTGTAAACTTTAACTTCTACTAACATAACTTTTATTCAGTGTCAGATGTCATTAACTAACCTTTAATATGAATAATGGAATTGTTATTGTAACTCAAAACAAAAGTTTTAATAAAATTTTTAATTTTACTATATTTTTTAAACACCTGATTCAAAATAAATACATTTTTATATTATCTTCAAGTTGTCTGTCAGACAAATGAAAAAGTAATACCTGTTTAGCATTGTTTAATTCAGTGACTGCCTTATCTTCATTATTAAACTCTTGAATAGAAAAGTAGGCGTTTTGTAGAATTGAATTTCTATTTCTTATAAAACAAATTAAAGGTGTTACTCGGTTAGACTTTGTTATGAAAGTAGTCGCCATTTTACGAAAGTAACCAATTTGTGACTTAATTCTGATTTATCTATATTGATTTGTCTGACTTTTTTTTTTTTTTTTCGATTTTAACGATTTTAACGTAACAAACTTTTAGATACGGAAATAGTGGAATGCGGCTGTTTCGTTTTACGCGTTAATGCGTTTTTAATCGATAACAATAACACATGTAAACAACAACTAAAATTTCTGGAGCCGAGCAAATATTACATATTTCGTAGAGCATTTCTTATTTTGATTTCAAATATGCAACCTTTTTCAACACCACGTTGAGTTGTAAAGATATTTGGGTTCAAATTTTTAGCATTTGGGATATCTCAAAAAAAAGCGTATTTTCTATAAGATTTCAAAAAACATAAATATTGTTACTTAATATATATTAACAGAAAAATATTATTAAAAAATCCTTAAGACTCTTAAAATCTAGGTTTGAAACGAGCTTTGGGCATATTTCCCGTCACGTTAAATTCGTCAATAAAAAAGCCTGCGTCACGAATCTGCTTGAGGCCATGGACTTTCTGACCTATAACGTTTCTCGCAAGCTTCCAGTAGATGTTTTTTTTTTCTTGACTTCGCCAAAGCCTTCGATAAAGTCCCTCACAGAAGATTACTTCAAAAACTTGAATCCTACGGAATCGAAGGTAACGCTCTTAACTGGATAAAAGCTTTCCTTTCAAATAGATCAACTCGTGTCATATTAGGTAATACATCATCCACCTAGGTAAAGGTTACCAGTGGCGTTCCGCAAGGTTCAGTGCTAGGTCCTACGCTGTTCATAATATTTATTAATGACTTACCCGAAAACATCAGTAGCGAAAACTTATGTAAAATGTATGCAGACGATACTAAAATCCTAAGTGTCGTCAAAACCACTGAAGACAAAGCTCGTCTGCAATCCGATATAGATAGCGTTGTTACCTGGACTCGAACCTGGTTAATGGAACTCAACATCAAGAAATGCAAAGTCATGCATTTCAGTAAGTACAATGTTTCCCCACACACTTATTTAATGAACGAGTACGACGCTAACGGTAGCATCACTAGAACAGTAATCGAGTCTTCAACATCCGAAAAAGATCTAGACGTTCAAATTTCCAACGACTTAAAACATGAGAGGCAAGCACAAATAGCCGCTGCCAAGGCTAATAAAGACCTCGGGACATTGAAAAACACGTTTATAAGCAGAGATACCAAAATATGGAAAAAACTTTACACCACTTATATACGCCCACATCTCAAGTTTGCAGTTACTGCCTGGTGCCCGTGTCTTGAAAAAGACATAAATGTCATAGAACGTGTTCAACATCGGGTTACCAAAGTACCGCACGAAATAAAGCGCTTCGATTACGAGACAAGATGCATCAAACTCGGCCTCACCTCTCTATTAAATAGACGTTTACGCGGCGACCTCATTCAAAAATATAAATTCGAAAACAATCGACTCAATTAGCTGGCATATAGATCCACCTAACATCTTACCTAACTACGGTCATCGCAAGCGCTTTCATCGTGAAATGGACAACAACTGCCTCGTTCGCTATAATTCCTTCAACAACCGCGTCGCTCACCCGTGGAACGCATTACCTAACGTAGTAGTCAGTGCTACCAGTGTCGATCGCTTCAAAGCAAAATTCGATCAGCTTTAATAATTACTACAGCGCATCATCTTCCGTGCAATTTCGCACGAGCTAGCGCGTCTAGCTGATGATGGGCTTACGGAACACGCCCGCTCCGTGTAATTTAATTTTTTAACTTTTTAACTTAAGGAAAGAGGCGTGAACTTCCTGGTTAAATGCACTTCCTCGGTACTCTGTGACAAGAACGTTAGATCTTCTAGGAGTACCTAACAAACAAATAAATAAATAAAAAAATTTAACAAAAACATTTCTTTGTAGTAATATAAAAAGTGTTTATTTTTAATACAACCAAATATTACTGTTTAAATTTTTAGGAAAACACGCTTCTTTTGAGACCCAGTTTGACTTTAATGTATGTTAACCTGGGTCTCAAAACCAATTTTTTTTTTTTTTTTTTTTTAATTTTTTTACCATCACACCAATTTGTAAATCTTTACAACTTGATGTGATGATGAAAAATGAGTTGCCCTGTGTAATTTGATTTTCATAAAATTTTTAATTTTTTTCTCAATAATTTACTTAAAATAGTTGGATTGTAGTGTGAAATTGATTAATCTCGTCGCATAGTGTAGCAAGTAAACAAAAACCCTAATAATTGAAAGTAGTTTTTTTTGTTTGTTTTTAACATTATTATGTATTTCCCCGTTAAAAAATGTTGCAAAAATGTTGATAAATAAATAAAACCTAGACTAAAAATTGAGTAAGGGGTCGTCCATAAAGAACCTACGCTTTTTTTTGTCTACCCCCTCTCCCCCCCTCCCTCGCATTTTGCAATACGCTTTTTTGAGTACCCTCTATCTCCCTAAAAGTACATACGCTTTTAACCGATTTATCTAACATTTTATGCTATTTTTTTAATTTAGTGTCTCCTTTCTTTTATAATTAACCCACTGCCCTCTCATATACACTATTTGCAGTTCCCCTCCGAGCGTGTGTGTGTGTGTGTGTGTGTGTGTGTTGAAAAAATATAATCGGAAAACGCAAAGCAAAAGAAATACTAAAAATGTCACTTTATCCTCTAATTAAAAAACATGAATGACCAATTGTATTTTGGCTAAATTTAACATCAATTAAATATTTCGAAAAAAATGGGTTGATATAAAAAAAAAAAGAGTCAACGTCGCTCCAAAAGATGTTAATAACTAAGCAGCAAGTCTACAAATTTTATTCGGCAATAGTGAAGAGAATATTGAGGAAAAAAGGCAACCGAATAAGTAATGTGACAAGGTTAATCATTCTTTAATGCGGGTCTATTCATTTTTATATGCGCCTTTATTCATTCTTATATGCACATTTATTCATTTTTATATGCGCATTTATTCATTCTTATATGCGTATTTATTCATTTGAATAAATACTCAAAAGTAAAAGAATGATCATTCTTATACGTGCGTTTGTGTTTGCGTCAACCACCCATAAAATCTCTAATACAATTTAATATAAACAATAAATACGCTTTTAAACTTTGTATATAGATATATTTAAAATATAAATTAGGTTGTTTTCATTGTTATTTATCTAAGAAATGGTTGCCGAGCTAGCGCTGGATTTATATAAGTACGCATATGGTTGTAAAATGGAACTATATTAAACTCTGTAGTATCCATAATATTTTTAAGTTTCCTGATTACCTCATCCGTATTTCGAGGCCTTTCTCCCTGTTTGTAAGTATGTTTTAAAAAAGAAAAAAATTCTTCTATTTGATTAAGCTGTGGCGTGTAAGCTGGCAGATACTTAATAGCTATACCATGAGAGGCTAGTGTTTGCCTAACAGAAAGACTCCAGTGGAATTTACCATTGTCCATAACAAGCACCGGCGCTTCCACATTTGCATTCCTAATTGCTGGTGCCATCATTGTAGTTATGAAAGTACAAAATGAATCTGCATTCCAGCCTCCAGTTTTTGTTTCATAAGCAAGCACTCCCATTGTTGAAACAGCAAACACAAATTAAACTAACATTCTTGCCACGATTTGCAGGTGACTGTAAAATTGCTGGCGCACCTCTTAGCGAATAACCATATGTGCTGTTAGTGTGCACATTAAATCCAGTTTCATCCAAATAAATAAGTTTTTCATCTGAAATTCCGTTAATTTCGCTTGCAAATGCATAGCGTGCATTAATAATTCGTGTTGAATTTCGTTCTTCTGGCACATGCACAACACGTTTTCTTGATAAATCCGAGCGTTTGAGTTTTCTTGAAATAGTAGGCTGAGAGCCTGCTGCAGAAAGATTATCTTTTATTGCTTCTTGCATGCAAAGATTGTTTTCTTGTACGCATAGTTCGATAATATTTTTTATTTGAGCGTTTATAGGTCTTTCACCTCGTTTTTTTTAATCAGAAAACGACTAAAATGCAGTCATGTCGTCGAATTCTCCTCTGTTTAACTTAACGACAAGATTTTAAACTGTGCGCTTCAATATATTAAGAGAAGTGGAAATGCTTGTTGCAGATTGATTTCTTTCAACTAAATGCTTAAGCATTTCAATGTGCTCTTTTGTAACATTTTTCCTTGTTTTACGATTGGTACTGCTATTTTCTATTCCATTCATAGGGTAAAAATTTGATATTAATAATTATAAATAATTAAATATCAAATCTAGAAAAATAAATAATTAGACAAAAAATAACTTAATCAATCAAGAAATTTAATACAATAATACAATTTAATACAATGTAATAAAATAAAACTAAGAACTAATACTCAATTATATAAACCATCATCGAATGTAAAAAGTCTTCGTCTTAAGTATTTTTAAACTCGTTTACCAGGAAATAAGAAAAATTTGCTTTGAAATAATAAACTGTTTTTTCAATGATTTTATTAAATGATTTTTTTTTTGTTCAAATTGCTTTTTTACAATTGCTTTTGTAAAAATGAATAAATGCGCATATAAGAATGAATAAAAGCGCATATAAAAATGAATAGACGCGCATATAAGAATGAATAACCCTGTAAAAAGTTTTAGGGCTTATTGATTAATGTAACAAAAAATTAAATTACTTGAATAACCGAGGTAAAGTTCCATATATATATATATATATATATATATATTATATATATATATATATGACTAAATAATCTTTGCTTGTTCGTTTTTAAGTTTTCTCATGTAATGTCGAGTTTATGTACTTTTTTTAAAAAAATTTGTTTAAGACCGGAAAAAGTTTAAAAACTTTAAAAAGTTTTTCATTTTTATTTGTTAGACTGCCCGCCCAAAACAAAACCTTAGTCGATATGAAGAATAAAAAACTTTATTGTTCCTAATAGTTCATTAAAAAAAAGTTAATCTTTGTCGTTGCAGAAAAAGTTGTCGAAAAACTGTTAATCCTCCCCCACCCCCTCCCGTCTAGAGTTTGATTTATCTTATGGACGACCCTTTTTTTGTATTTTCTTGATATTGAACTATTTAAATTAAAATCCTGTATAAAAAGAAAGTTTAATCCGTATACATGTATTATGCATTGTAGATATCTCTTACATATTTATCTAAAATTTCCTTTTTTTCATAAAAAATATTTTTTTATATTTTTAGATTTTTAGCAATATTGATTGATTTTTGTGTTTTTTAAGAATTGTTAAAACTTTTCAACGTAAATATTTTAAAATATATTTTATGCTTTTTAAGTGAATTACCGAATATTATTCAAATTTTCTAGTTGTGTTTTGCATAAAAAGTTATAAAATATAAGTTAAAAATAGGTTATGCCTATTTGCTTAACTTTGATTCTGACTATGGTTTATATCATGTAAGGTAAAATATTTGCAGGTTGAGGAACTTTTTGAGACAATTTTTCCTTATGATTTCAAGTATATGTATTATTTACTTCAAGTAACAATTACTTAAAGTAACATAGCAGGATAATTAAAAGCAATAATACTTTTGTAAATATCTACGAAAGTAAAAAAATAAATAGTAACGATGTCTAAAGTCTAGTATACTTTTAATAGTCAATGTTGAAAACACTGCTTTAAATGAATTGTATAAAATATTAGCGTCTTTAGTCGCTCTCTAAAAAAGTACTATTAATTCCATATGTTATTAATTTTAATTTTATTATAAAAAACAACAACATAACAGATGTTTCCAAAAATGAATCAGAAAAAGCCTTGTATGTCAAAAAAGGTGTAGAAAATAGATGAGCAGTAATTGTTTCGGTAAATATAATTTTGCGTTAAATACTACAATATGTTATTTTTTTATAATAACGTAATATTTTACGGGGGAAATAAATTTTGCCTAAACTACAATGAACTAGTTTTCTACTAACGTGTGGTAAAGTAAATTTTATTATGGAAATATAAATCTTGGCTATAAAAAATTACTCTACTAATGCAGGAAATTGCATCATCACAGTTATATAAATATATTTTTAATAGTAAAACTTAAGGTGTCTACCCCCCCTCCCTAACTTTTTTTAGATATAAATTGATTTTTATTTTGACTAATTAAAAAATGAACAATGAACATATTCAGTGGAAAGAGAATAAAAAGATTCTAAAAAAAATTTTGTAACAGATTCTGATCGAATCTGTATCAAAATTTAAAGCAATATAAGATTCAAATATCAATATATAAATCTTATGTTATGCATACAAATCTTAACTTTTTTTTGCATATTTAAATGTACCAAAACTAGATGTAAGTTTATTTTTTCAAAATATAGTTATCTAGTTGTTTAAAATCTATTTATAAATCTTTTAGTTGATTCAAGATAAAATCAAACAAAAAAATGTCTAGACTAGCAGTAGTATTTGTATTGTGCTTATTGGCAACAACATTGACAGAAACAGATTGCTGGTCAAATAGTTTTCCACAGCAAAGGGTAATAATTTGTAATAGTGTATATATATATATATATATATATATATAATTGTATATAGTTTTTTAAACGAACAAACTATATTTGTATTTCACCTGATGATTGCAACAGCATGAAACTTAAAGTTGTGAAAATCACGTAGTTTTATTTTCTACTATTATATATATATATATATATATATATATATATATATATATATATATATATATATATATATATATATATATATATATATATATATATATATATATATATATATATATATATATATATATATATATATATATTGTGTGTGCGTATGTGGGTGACCCTAAACTTTTAGCTTATTTTTTAATTGAAAAAATATTTTATATTCATTAATATTTCAGGGGGATGTCAAAATGGATAAAACGAAAGCAGACTTGAAGCAAAAGGTTAATGAAAAAAGTAAAGGTAATATAAAATTAAATTAAATATTTTGGTTTTAAAAAAGTAGTTTTTTATAAAATGAAGATAAAAAAACGAAGTTATGAAATAACAAGTCAACAGCGTTTTTATAGAAAAGGGTAAAAACCTTCTTTGAAAAAAGGTTACTTTCCTATAGGCGGAAAATCCAATGATTTCAAGAATTCATGGACAACAACATTTTTTGGCATGAAATTAACTTTATTTTCAATATAAATTTTAACATACTTTGTCCCAAAACTTTTTAAGAGTTCCATTTCAATATAAAACATTTTCGATTTCTTTGTATAATAACTAAACAGAACTTCAATGTCTTTTTTATCCGTTGATTTTTGTTCTTTATAAATGCGTTCAAGCCATGAAATTAGGTTTTTCATTGAGAACAGTTACATTACATTACAAAATCCTCAACATATATACACGATCATTTGCATTCATACAGATATTTAATTACATAAACAAATATATCATTACGAACAAAAATTTTGTTGTATTCTTGAATAAGGGGAAACACCATTCACTATAAAAATCAAAATGTTTCACGAAATAAAATGGTTTTTTTTAATCCAAAATTAGTTTGAAAAAAATGGTTTCCTAACTAAACTATTATTTTTTTATATAATATTTATTTTTTATTTTTTAAGGTATATAAATTATGGAAAGCGACTGATGACGAGTTAGTTTTATGTCTATTCATAAAACTAAAAACATCAAAAACATTGAGCCGATATATATCAAGAATTTTCAGTGCAACTTATAAAGACGTTTCACAAACAAATATGTTTAAAAAGTGAAAAGTTGGATTGTAAGCTATTGTTGGCTTATCAAGAACTAATGGGCTAGAACTAGTAGTGTAGGCAGGATTTTATTGCTTTAGATTAGACATATTTAGATATCGTTATGTCTGAATATGTCTTATCTTAAGCATTTATGGTTATGTCATATGGTTTAATGTATTCGCGGTGAGATTGGAAACAAATTACCACAAAAAGCTCGCTCCTTTATTCCAAAGATAAAGTCAATGATTTATTAAATTATATATATCTTTTTTTGACTTGATAATATTGAATTTAACTTCATTGAAAGGTTTTATATTTCAATTTATAATCTTTTAAATTTTTAAAAGTTATGACCATGTAAAGTTTATACCCCCTTATTTTGGGAAGATGGTGGAAACCTCACATGGTCATAACCTTTGAACGTCAAAAATAATTTAGTTTAATCAAATTAACAAATAAATTTTTTTTAACTAATTGTTTAGATTAGAGGGAGCAAACTTTTTGAGGTGTTTCTGTTCCCAAGTTCCAACCGTCACAATTTTTTTGGAAAAATATTGACATTTCACATAAGTATAAACCTACTTTCAAATGGAGTTTGAATATTGTCTAAAAGTATCATATCTGAAATATCAAAAAAGTTCTTCCAACATTTCTGTTTGCCACTCGAGATCCTTTTTTTAAACTCATACTTTAATTTTTCTCATATAAATTTAGGGGCAGTAACCTAGAAGCGTAGAAAAAGCTTCCACCAGCATATTTTCAAAATAGGGAAACGTAACGTTAGAAAAAGTTAAAATTACTAAAGTGAATAAAATTCTTTGTTAACAGATTTTTTTAATGTTTCTTTTAACTGCCAACCACCTATTTAAGTATAAATTATAATGAATGTAGTTTAAGCGGCACGACAAAGTTGCGCATTTGTTAACTGATGTTTTTGTATTAATCAACCAGATTTAAAAACAGTCATAAATTAATCATAAAAACTATTACCCCAGTGGGCACGGAAGTAAAAAAAGACGTCTTTTAAACGTCTTATACACGTTTTAGACGTTTTCTGAACGTCTTTTGAACGTTTTGGACGTATTTTAAACGTTTAAAAGACGTCTTTTTTACTTCCGTGCCCACTGGGACGTTATAAAAAAAATTCGAAAATAATTTAACAAAAGTTTTTATATTTTGATTCATCTGTTTATATTTAATTGCTTTTTGTTTGTTTGTTTGTTTGTTTTAATTTCAAAACTAATTTTATTTTTTTAATTTTACATTTAAACTTTTTATTTAGGTTTTCGTAGTTTTTCTAAAACGTTGGTATGACGATAATCGTTGTTATGCAACAAATATATCCATTAACAACTTTGACAAAAAAGATTTTGAATATAAAACTATACATTTAATGTGATTTAGGTTTAATGCAGATTTGGTGTGTGATGTATCCTGATTGTTCTAAAATAATACATTTCGTTTCTTTAACTACGATTGTTTTTGTTTTTTAACACGTCAAAGACTTTTTTTTTTCATAGTTTTTCAAAGTTTTAAGATTTTCAAAATTCAAAAAATGGAAGTTTAAAAAAATTTTTTCGTTTTTTTTTTTTTGTTTACATATAAATATAAAAATACCTATGATATAAAAAGATTGAGTTTCGATATTTTTTGAATAATGGACTATCATCGTTTACATGGCATATTCTTGATTCTTAAAAAAATGTTATTAAGTTAAAAGTTATTTCAATAGATTTAAGTTATTCATGTTTTGTTTTGAAAAAATGCTTACTCTTCTTTGATTACAGCCGTGGCGCAGTGGTTAGAGTTCTGGCTCAGAACTCAGAGGTCCGAGGTTCGATGCCAGCTCTAGCCCAACAAGCGACATTGGCACGGAAGGAGGCGTGAACTTCCCGTTAAATGCTCACCCGCGGTGCTTTATGATAAGACCGTAAGGACTTTTGAGAGCACCTAAATACATACACAAAAAAAAAAAAAAAAAAAAAAAATTACCTTCTTTAGGTAATATTATAACGTTATACCACTGTTAAGAAGTTTTAACAAGAGTCACCCTAAAAAATATGGTATTATTTATGGTATAAATTTATTCTCACAAATATAAATCAAAAAAGAAAGATATTCATTTAGGGGTTTGAGTTAAAGTAAATAATTGAGGGGCGCAAAACAAGTCCAATATTAATTTGAATTCTAAGTTTAAACTTAAAAGTCTTTAAAGAGTGATTTTGTTTTCTAAAGTCATATTTTATTTTCATTTTACATTATTTTAATTTAACTTTCTGCATTATTTCTAATTTAAGATTTAAAAAAATAGTTGCTTAATCAATCTAAATTTTTTGATGAAATAATCAAAAGATTTAAGTTGTCCAAGAAAGAAAATTTGTTTGTTTTTTTAAAAATGTTATTTAAGTGTTTCTTTAGCAGAATTTTATCCTCTTTAAAACGAAATATGGATCATATATTTTCAATTTAGATAAACCTTCTTTTTTTATTTTATTTTAGTAAATTAAAATTTTTATTTAAATATAATAATTTATTGCACGAGATTGTCAACGTGTTGCAATAATTGAAAAGAAAGGCAGTCTAATCATTAATAAAACAAATTTAAAAAGTTACAAGCAATCAAAATAATAATAGATAAAAATAATAATGAGAATGAAAAATGTGAATCTTGAACTTTGAATTTTGCTGGTGGTTTTTAACATATTTTAAAGAAGTTTTTATATTATTTTAGATAAAAATTTGACTTTCTCACGTTAGATATTTTAACTGATTTATAGATTTTAAAACACGATAACTCAAGAATGAAGGGATGAAATAAGTTGAAACTTTCAGGAATAACTCATTTCTTATATATAATCCATACATCATATGCTTTTTCCTTTTTGAATTTTATGACTTTTCATTTTTTAACATTTACTTTTTAAGCTTTTTACTAACAGAAGCATAACTTTTGACTATATGAGTCAATCAAAAAATCGGTATGATATATGGATTTTACTATCACCTAGAAGCTATGCTAAGCTATTTTACTATCACCTAGAAGGGGTGATATTGTAATTTTAATATTGTAATTTTAATATTGTTACTATGTTACTATCTGTAGATGTTTTAAAGTTTTGCACATTTTTGTTTTACTTTAACTAAAAAGTAAAGTAATCAAGGCAAAAAATAAATTTTTTTCGTTTTGACTATACTTTTTAAATGCAACCTGAATGGGTTGCAGCTAATTCCACGATAGCAACACCAGTTCAAAATGCACTATCAAGTATTGGAGAATATATTCCACAGGCCTCAAGCATATCTATTAATAATCTTCCACCTTCCATGAGAACTATAAACAAAAACATCATACATTTCGACTCGCGTCAACAAATATTTTTAGCTCAAAAATTCTATCATGCATTGATTGTAGCTAAAAATATTTTATATGCTAACAGTATTTATTATCCAATTTACATTCCAGGAGAAACGCTAATTGTTAGACAATTGTTATAATTATCGCATACAGGTATTACAGGTTGACCAGTAACTACTTCAAATTTTAAATTTTGACACAAAGGTGCCCACCAACTAGATCCAGCTGTATCTAGTGTAAGTATTGCTCTACAACTCATTAAGCTTTTTGTAGTTGTCAAATATAATCCAGAAAATCCATTACCTGGATTTGTATTGCCAAATGGCCTTGATTAAAAATAAATTTTTAGTCAAGGTCATGCATATAGACCAAAATTTCGTTATTTTAAATCACAGAGCCCCAAAAAATGTTGTTTCTTGAGTAACCACTAATAATCAATAATCATAAATTAAACAAGTAGATATAAAAATAAGTAAATTTATAAATAATTTTTGCCTTATTTATATAGTAGTTTATTGCTGCTCAATAAACTTTAGTTTAAACGCACATATTATTATTATTATCATTTCATTTATTTAACACCCAATGTAATTTACAAGGTAAAAAAGAAAAATAAGAAAGTTATTTCTCGTGATTTCAATGTTTAAATAAGGGGTGTTTCAGTTGTGAAAAGATAATGTCTGAAATTGTTTTATTATTAAGAAGATGAAGAAACAAGTTTAATTTATTTTGTTGAATACTTTTTGAAAATTCCTGGATTTTAAATAGCGAATTTGTAAAGTTCTTACTGTGTTTTGAAATATTTAAAAGCGCTTTTAGTGCACTCCTTCAAATTACATCAGGCTTTTTCATCAAATCAGAATTATTTTCACATATCATCATACCGTAAGTTAAGGTAGGGACTGCCAATAATTTATATATATAGGATTATATAAATTATTTATATATATTGTAAAACATCATTCAAATATTTATATATATTGTAAAACATCAAGAAATACAGTTAAAATTTTAATCCAACAGCAAAGTAGAAAATGCACAAAATTTAAGAAAACACGTTTTAAGAGTACTAACATCAGAGAAAAAAATCAAAAACAATCCGACAAAAGAACAGAGGATAGCTTTTAGAGAAATAAAAACGATGAAAGCATTGCTATATACCGGTTTGACAAAGGAACAGGTTTTGTAAGAATTGAACATTCAAAAGCTTTGATAAAAATTCGTTAACAAATTGGTCCGACAAAAATTATAAGTAAAGACTTTATTTGGCAGTAGGGTCTTCACTTATAATTTTTTTGTTAGAACAATTTGTTACCGGCAAAAATTAGAACATTCAAATCTAAGTAAAAATCGACGTTTTTCTACAGAGGAATACGAAAAAATATATCCAAATGGTCCTATCCCTCGAATGTATGGAGTTATCAAAGCTCATTAACCTGAAAAATTGTAACTTATGAGAATAATTATTTCAATTATTGGCACACCAAACTACGAAATATCAGAATTCTTAGTTAAGACAATACAACCAGTCTTAAATGAAAATCCGACATGATCAAAAAACTCTTTCGATTTAAAAAAGCAGAAAATTGGAATTTCGACAAAATTAGATGTCTTTTGATGTTGTATATCTGTACCAATCAACTCCGTTAAAAGAAGCTTTATACTTTTAGAGCAATTAAATAACAGTTTAATTGTTTAAATAATCATATAAAACTTAACTAAGTTAAGTATACCTTAAACAACTAGTAGAACTTTGTTTATACCAATGTCAACCTAGACACAATCAGACACTCTTTTATGATGGTTCTTTTATAGTAAACCTCATATGCAAAATGAAATAAATTTTTTAACGGACTTGTTTATAAAATGGGTACAAAAGCTATTAAGGAACATTACACACCAATTTCATTAAAAAAGACAGGATAAAAACAGAGTTCGATCAGAATGCATTAATTTTATTTATTTCACCAAAACTTTGAAAAATATTCCGAAAAGCAGGATACAGAGCAGTATTTAAATCAAACCCAATTTTAAGATCTTTATTAACATCAAAAAACATATCAAAACTACCTAGTAACAGCCAGTCTGGAACCCATATAATAAAATACAACTGTTCCAAAGTTTACATAGTTGAAACAAAAATGCAAGTAATAACGCAGATGCATCAACATCAGAGAAACATAGACAAAATGAAACCTAATTAATCTGCATTAGCATTTCATAAAACCTTCAGAACTCTAATCACTGAGACACGGCAGTTTTTCTGAAGTTTAAATTTAATAATAAAAATAGTAGAAGGGAAATGCCTAAAATAATAAAAACTTGCAATTAAATTAAGAGGTATGCTGATTTGCAATCTGAACTTCTGATAAACAAACTTCCAACCTACGCATACTATATTTTAAAATCATCTACTGGCTAAAAAGTATTAATTTGAAAGTATTAATGATTAACTTTAAAAATTATTTCAAAAGTGACAAAAAAGTTTATCAAGTTTTGAAGTAAATCCTAAGGAATATTAAGCTTTCTCTAATTTATGAGAAGTCAAAAAATTCCAAGAGCTAAAGAAAAGTGCAAAAATGTAAACAACAATAACCATTCTAATTTCGTGCATTTGTTTGATTTTTCTGCTTTTGATTTAGGACTCCAGAAGTAACAATGGTAACAATGGTAACAATGGTAACAAATAGGTTACAAAGATTGTTAATTTTTTATATCAAGTATTTGAGTATTCAGCTTAGTACTAACTAAGTACAAATTATCTGTTTACCTGATTTCAAATTTTTTTATAAGTTAAATACTGAATTAAAAAAATGTATATCATGTTATTTAATTTCGTGTAAACTGGAAATTGTAAATTACAATTTCATGTTTTTCTGAGATATTATTTTTTTTCTTTAAAGATTTCTTTTAAAAATAATAATTAAAGTTGAGTTAATATTGTTTTATCAGATTAAAAACTATTTTAACTACTTTTTTGATAAAATTTAATGTTTAGGTCTTTAAAATGTAAAATTTAATGTTTAGGCCTGTAAAATGTTAGAATCTTTCTGATTGCAAAATAGCACAATTCGCACAAGCACGGATATCATTTTAGTCACTGCTTTAAATAAAG